GTCTGTGTGACGTGGACCGTAGTCCTCGCCTCAAAACCTCAACATTTTCTAAATTTATTTTGTGTCCCGTGTCGAGTGCGTGTTCCGCAATCGCCGAGTCTTTCAGTAACGCTTGATATTCACCTGCGTTTCACGGCAGCGTGTTTATTTTTCTACTATGCCCTCCAACTCTGATGTGTAGTTCGCTGACCGTCTGTCCTATATAGACCTTGGTGCAGTCATTACACTTGATTTTGTAGAAACAGTCCCTGGTTCTGTTTGCCGGCAGGAGATCCTTCAATTGCACCAGTGCAGAACGCAGTGTTCCCCCTCTATAAAGCTACTCTAATGTTGGCCGTGTTTAGAATTCTTGGAATCACATCCGATGTCCCTGGTATATATGGAATAACAGCTGTTCCGATCCATGCCCTGTTGGGTTTCGCTACCGGTACCAACACCCTTCGCAACTGACGCCTAATCAAGCTGGCTGGATACCCACTACCCCGAAGTTTGTTCTTTACCCCAATTCGGGCCGCTGTCCGATCAGCTCCTTCTTCAAAACATCCAGATGGTCAATACCACAAACCAGAATAACTGTTAGGATTTATTTAACACCAATTTACTCTTCAAATGACTTGGTGTATTTAAATTATAGTTTTGGACCCTGTTTACTGATGGTTTCTAGTTCCACACATAACTTGTTGCACGTTTTTCCCAACAGGTGTTTTACTTCTTTAAATCCGAACGACACACCGATCCGGTAATTTCAGGTTACCAACCGTTTTCCGGCGTGAATTTCGGTGGCATACTTCAGCCGAGCATGTCCCAGTAAAGGGCTTCCATATGGCTATTGTTGTGGTATGATTGTGTACTCTTAGAAGTGGTTTGCACAAAAGCCAAGCACCATAAACGAAAGAGCAAATTTTCCCACCTGAGCCTCTCTGTAGCCGGTCTAGGTACGACTTAACAATCGTTAGATTTCGTACTTTCTTCCATGTACTTTTATTTGTAGGAGAACGAGGGCGTTTCCGCCGTGTCTTCACCAGGGGATTGATCTCCAGTGCGAAATTTCGAACTCTACTGAAAAGATTTTTTTCATCCACGTTTCAGTATAGCTGGTCCCAATTACTACAAACTCATTTTCGGACAAGTACTAAATTAAAGACATTTACGATGGGTAGTTGTTGACTGTTGAGTTGAAGTTTTATTCGTTTTTGTGAAATCCATCCAAAAAACAATCTAAGCGTGGCAACGTGGATATAAATCGACCAACCAGTCAGTGTGCTACTTTCCTATCCTGACTATCTACTCACAGATAATTAGGTCTGCCCAGAATAACAGTAATTCGTATTGTAAAAGCTCATAACTAATGTGCAGTCAGTGTTCAATCGAGTGAAAAAGATCTCAGTTCGCACTTGTCATTTGAATTCGTTGAAAACGATCAGCAGTTTAAGAGCTTCCATTCGAATTGAACCAAGTAGATGTGTATCACTGAGGCGTCTGCATCATCGTCAGTGACAGAAATACTTACATCAGTAATAAACACTGGTAATAAACTGCCATAATATACCCATAAGAAATGCTGCTCTAAAAACTTGGAATGAATGTGGGGACTTAGTACAAACAACTTTATGTCCATACGGAAAACGATGAAAAACAAGGTAACTTTATTTTCATAAAGGAAACTACTCACAAAGTTGCTGAAAACTCTTCGACAGCCCACTACACTCATTTACAAATCAATTTGGTTTTCACGGGAAACTACTCACAAGGTTTTCAATCAATTGGAAAAAGTTTGGAACCGATTGAGAAGTCATCGTTTCAGAAGAGCTTGGTAAACAATCGGCAGTTTTTATTTGGGCAACGTTTCGCTTTTGACCTGATGAAGTTTTTGTGTCAAAAGCGAAGCGTTGCCAAAATAAAAACTGCCGATTGTTTACCTTCTGAAACGAAAGTGCTCGAATTCTTAGGAACATGTGGATTAGACACCACATTGGGAATTGAGCAGTAGCTGGATCATCACCAGCAGTCAATTCTGGTTAGATCTGGTTCACGACGAAGAGGATCAATCACTTTCGACTCTTGTAACCACCGGAAGAAATTCGCAACGATTCGGTTCAATCTCCTCAACTCATCTGCCTGTCATCAACTTTTTCGGATAACGGCAGCGGACAAACTTTCAGAATAACTGAATCCATTCCCTTCACAGGTAACATAATTTTATCGTTCTTGTGTCTCCAGCTAATCCTGTGTACCTCTGTTTTACTGAATACGAGCTCGATTGCGGTGAGATTCAGCTCTACTGTCTTCCTTATTCGCTATGCTCCGCCGATTCCCTTATCTGTGTCATTTATTGTGTTTTTTCTCATGATGGAATGAGTCAATAAATGGCACAAATAAGGGCAGGGGTGAAAGAATGCTGTAACGATTAAGCTGACAAGGGTACCATGTGCCAAGGGTAGATTGGTTCCAGATTGGTTCCTCCCTCAACAAAAGGAGGGAGGGCGCGGGAGATATAGTCAGTCATTACATGATCAGTTAGTTCGTACTGTATATTGTCCTGAGAGAATCGAGGAACTTGGGAACTACATATCGAAGGAGATGCCTTTGATGTATGAGCGCTACTGACTGCGCAGTTTATCTATGTCCACCAGTGTCATCAACCATTGGCGAGTTGACTCCAAGGGTCGATATCTCGAATATCGTGCCAACTGAATCATGAGGCGGTCTGTGTGCAGCACAATCAGCTGGAGGACATCATAAACGAGAGATTCGATTGAGTCTCCCGAGAAAACCAAATTGATTTGCAAATTTCTCGGAAAGGTGACTTTTTTCTTGAAACAGTGACGAGAGAAAACTCATCATATCAAAGTAAGATGATGTAACTGTGTACAAGTTGCCGACTCATTCCAACACAGTACGCCCCCAATCTCCGTAGTGAACGTCCGTTGGTGCATATCTTTCCACAGGTCATCGATCAAAGTCATGGCATTCAAACAGTGGCTTGTACACTGATGAGTAGCAAGCGATCTTGGCTCTCAACAGTCAACTACTTGGTCGCAAGTGGTGCTCAAAATTTCGGGAGACCATAGTACCAGGACACCAGATTCAGAAACTAGCTGATGAATTTCAAATCACTAGAAGTTACGATTACCGGGTAGGCCACATACACTTGTGTGAATTTCAAATAGTTCTGAAGGCGCAAACTCATCGAATTACCTAACTATATTTCCTGAAGTTAACGGGTTTAGGTGACGATCCCGTTTGCTAATGAAGCCAGACTATGTCCTGGTCAGAATCAATAGCAGTGCTCATCTCACGAAGCTCCAGGGAGTTTCGTGTAGTTTGAGCAGTGGACCGTTTGGCCATGAGTGATTCAGTTTGCACAACTTGTCAATTGGTTTGTGGATGTTCCGCCACCGTGGGAGAATTTGTCAGAGCTTGGTTGCTTGTTTGCTTCAGCTCATAGCTTTCAAGTTGAAGTTAATAGCTCAAAGTTACTGGTGGTTTGAAGATCGACAGGCACGCAATTTGATTGGTCCGTGAAAAATTTGTGTTGCATCGTGATCGGATTCTGACTGGTCTGACTGGTCAGTTGAACGAGTTTTTTCAGCAGTCCCCATTCTTTGAATCGATTGGGCCATCTCCAATTTTCTGGCGGTTGAAAGGCTTCATTGGACCAACTAGGAAAGATGGCATGTTTATCTTTCGGAGCGGGGTAAATTTTGAATTCTCCAGAAAAAAACTCGTAATGGAATTGCCCAAGGGTAAGTATTGAGCAGTTACATTGAACCGCTTAAGTTATTATCCAATTTTTCTGCTATTTAGTTCGGAACTACCTCGAAAGTGCAAGGCCATTGGGATTTTCCCCCAAGCACGTTTAACCCTTCCCTCTTCACATGCACCGGAACAAATGATCCCAGATGGTAATATCTGTTGAATGTCGTTGAGCAATAAAGTGACTTTCCACAAATACACTGGTTTGCATACCAGTTTGGTTTTGACGGAAAGCTCGTGTGAAACCCAACCGGTTCTCTCGTTACTGATGTTCTTAAGCAACTGAATGTGCTGAACCAGGCCGCTTCGTGTCTATTTGAGAGATCGCGACACATTGTATAGGCGTATTGCACTAATCATAAGGTTGCTGAAAAGTTTTAAACAACTTTATAGGGTATAGGATACTGCTGCTTCTTAAGAGGATGCCGTCGAAGAGAGTGTTCCTCGAGGAACGGAGTCAAATGGCCTGATCGCTTTGCATTACAAGAGGTAGTTCAGTCCCACAAAGCGGGAAAACAGTGGTCTGGTCATTCGGGCACAAAGTTATTTTTGGGCATATACGAAATTGCAACTTTGGTTGTTCAGAAATGTTACAGAAACAGGTATCTATTTGAAAACCGTTGATCTGAATGCCGTTCACGACACTGTACTAAGGCCTTGGTACACTTTAGGGATCCCCCACACAATGGTGCTTACAATGGAACTGATGCCGTAAGGCGTGTATACATTCATAAAATTACGTCAAGCTATGATGATCCACCTCATTCTGTTTGCGTCCATATCACTGTCGTTTGAACGGCATTCCTGCTGGAACAGTCATTCTGGTCAGTCCACACCAAACGGGGAAGCGCTGCAATATCACGTGTGAACAGTCCAAATCATGCATACCTGAGTGATTTGATTAGTTTGTTCAATACCTGGCTGTATCGATCGATTGGTCCGCCTGTCAGTAACTCTCAGGAGGATGGCGCGCTTTAAAGCTGCCGGATGATCATTTTGTTTTGTTGGTTTTGGCCAACTGCGTGAACCGAGTCGTACTGGACATAAATCCATGCTCAAACACTGTAAATTCGACTCGAAATTCGCCACTTTCTTCACGATTGAAAGATTCAGTAAATACAAACCTATCAGAAGATGACATGAAAGATGAACTGCGCACCTTTTTCTTAAAACAAACTACTCACAAGGTTGCTGAAAACTCTTCGACAGTCCACGACTGCTTTCGCTCTTTTTGTGGCACAGTCCCCGAGTTTCCGTCAACCTTATGTTCTATTTGAACCCAAAGCGGACTGTTTTCGAGAAACACACTCATTTTCAAATCGATTTGGTCGTGGGATGTCGAAGGGTTTTCAGCAACCTTGTGAGTAGTTTCCTTTATGAAAATATACTGCGATTTCTCGAATATCGTACCAACTGAAACATGAGGTGGCCTGTGTGTAGCACATTGAACTGAAGAATACCATGAACGAGGGATTCAGTTGAGTCCCTTGTGAAAACCAAAGTGATTTGCAAATGAGTGCATTTCTCGAATTTTGTCCCTTACGCCATAGAATATGCGCTTTGATTTGTGGATGGGTTCCACTGCACGAGGATATTTCCCGGCAGCAGCCAGCGGCAAGGCGAACTGTGCAGAAAACACCGAGGAACTAGACTACTTCGCAATAGTTGAAATTACCTAGCTAACTAACTAACTAACTTGGAAGATGCAACCAACCAAACAGCAGTAGTTTTTTTTATATTTCTCCCCCCATCCTAACTATTTCGGCTTTCTTACAGGGGTCAAAATTGTCCATAGTAAATTCTTTAGCAAATCAACTTATGAGAGAGGCATTCGATCTTTTCTTGTCATTTGTTCACCGTGATGTCAGTGACGAGTTTTTAATTCCAGAAAACTAAGCGAACGGCGTCATACCTCAAACATTTTTCATTTGACATTCATAAAGCCTGTGTTGTTTAAACTAAGTGAAGACATTCACGGACCAGTCAGCTTCACGGTTGATTTTAACTAGGTATCGAATTCGAATGGATGCGGGGTTAGTGGTTAGTTTTGAAAGACGGTTGGGCTGAAGATCATTCTGTACGACTAAAAATAAAGGTTCGACAGAGTGTAGTTGTAGCCTTACAAATGACCACAGTCCCTATTCAAACGGAAGTTGTTAGTTGAAGATAGCCATGGAGTTGAAATTGATTAAGGTCAAATTGTTATTGATTTGAGTTTACGGAAGGTCAAGGACAAGCGCGGTATAGGACATTTGGGAGTGGTGAAAACAGCTGTTACTGTTTTTTAAACGGAACATTTTACATCATTGTAGAATAGCGTACCTATTGGCAGAATGAGGACACTTCCCTTTTGAAGGAAACCTGCCGGTCACAATCCGATCTTTTCGTTGAACACGTCCGTTGAGTCGAACCCTGGATTACTTGGGTTTTTCATCTCTAGAATCACCATCATTCATAATCATTGGAACTAATGAGCTGCTTAACAGGGAGGTATTTGAGAACCACCGAGATACTTCTCAAACAAAAGTTACCAGATGACAGATTTGAGTTTGTTGAAGAGACAGCAGTCAGATATCGATACATCCGTATGCAGAGTTAGCGCAGTCAAACAAAACAAGGGAGCTTTGGAGATCTGACTGGATGAGCAATTTGGACAGCTTTGATCACTCAACAACAAAAACAGCAGAAACACCAACCGGAGTACATCGACCCCGTAAATAACTCCCTTTTTGCTTTTCGTTTGTCCTCACCATGCGGGACGCAGACCGAAAGAATCAGGCAGCATCTCCATCAGGGAGTAGGTGCGAGGAAGTCACACACTGGTTGCTTGATTAGCGTCACGTCTTCTTGCAACTGACTTGACTTTATAGCCAGTCCATTACCACGTATTCTTGGCCAACGAGGATCGAATTTTTTTAATGTTCCTCATGCTGTTGAGTACGACAGTCCTGGTTGCGTGTGTGGGTCTACAATGAGCCATCCAATAGTTACCTCTGAAAACCATCTATCAAGGAGAGCCGTGTTTTCTATTTCTAATTCTTGTTGGGAAAAAATGAGCACAGGATAGGCCGTGAAAGTAGAGCTCTGTCAGCCCTTCAGGCCCCCTGGGGGTGGTGCTCCCAAAAAATGTTCGGTCAGTTGCGCTGGTGTTTTCTTGCTCCTAAGCAGTCCTCAGCTGCGTTTTGGAAGTTGTGGACACCCTGCTTCTGGAAGTTTGTTCTAGAAGCATAGGAAATTATCAGGAAGGCCAGATTCCTGAAAGCAACCACAGACGTGAAAACCAAAGTGACTTTCAAATGAGGGCATTTCTCAAATTTTGTACCTTACGCTACAGAATATGCGCTTTGATTTGTGGATGGGTTCCACTGCACGAGGATATTTCCCGGCAGCAGCCAGCGGCAAGGCGAACTGTGCAGAAAACACCGAGGAACTAGACTACTTCGCAATAGTTGAAATTACCTAGCTAACTAACTAACTAACTTGGAAGATGCAACCAACCAAACAGCAGTAGTTTTTTTTATATTTCTCCCCCCATCCTAACTATTTCGGCTTTCTTACAGGGGTCAAAATTGTCCATAGTAAATTCTTTAGCAAATCAACTTATGAGAGAGGCATTCGATCTTTTCTTGTCATTTGTTCACCGTGATGTCAGTGACGAGTTTTTAATTCCAGAAAACTAAGCGAACGGCGTCATACCTCAAACATTTTTCATTTGACATTCATAAAGCCTGTGTTGTTTAAAATAAGTGAAGACATTCACGGACCAGTCAGCTTCACGGTTGATTTGAACTAGGTATCGACTTCGAATGGATGCGGGGTTAGTGGTTAGTTTTGAAAGACGGTTGGGCTGAAGATCATTCTGTACGACTAAAAATAAAGGTTCGACAGAGTGTAGTTGTAGCCTTACAAATGACCACAGTCCCTATTCAAACGGAAGTTGTTAGTTGAAGATAGCCATGGAGTTGAAATTGATTAAGGTCAAATTGTTATTGATTTGAGTTTACGGAAGGTCAAGGACAAGCGCGGTATAGGACATTTGGGAGTGGTGAAAACAGCTGTTACTGTTTTTTAAACGGAACATTTTACATCATTGTAGAATAGCGTACCTATTGGCAGAATGAGGACACTTCCCTTTTGAAGGAAACCTGCCGGTCACAATCCGATCTTTTCGTTGAACACGTCCGTTGAGTCGAACCCTGGATTACTTGGGTTTTTCATCTCTAGAATCACCATCATTCATAATCATTGGAACTAATGAGCTGCTTAACAGGGAGGTATTTGAGAACCACCGAGATACTTCTCAAACAAAATTTACCAGATGACAGATTTGAGTTTGTTGAAGAGACAGCAGTCAGATATCGATACATCCGTATGCAGAGTTAGCGCAGTCAAACAAAACAAGGGAGTTTTGGAGATCTGACTGGATGAGCAATTTGGACAGCTTTGATCACTCAACAACAAAAACAGCAGAAACACCAACCGGAGTACATCGACCCCGTAAATAACTCCCTTTTCGTTTGTCCTCACCATGCGGGAAGCAGGCCGAAAGAATCAGGCAGCATCTCCATCAGGGAGTAGGTGCGAGGAAGTCACACACTGGTTGCTTGATTAGCGTCACGTCTTCTTGCAACTGACTTGACTTTATAGCCAGTCCATTACCACGTATTCTTGGCCAACGAGGATCGAATTTTTTTAATGTTCCTCATGCTGTTGAGTACGACAGTCCTGGTTGCGTGTGTGGGTCTACAATGAGCCATCCAATAGTTACCTCTGAAAACCATCTATCAAGGAGAGCCGTGTTTCCTACTTCTAATTCTTGTTGGGAAAAAAATGGGCACAGGATAGGCCGTGAAAGTAGAGCTCTGTCAGCCCTTCAGGCCCCCTGGGGGTGGTGCTCCCAAAAAATGTTCGGTCAGTTGCGCTGGTGTTTTCTTGCTCCTAAGCAGTCCTCAGCTGCGTTTTGGAAGTTGTGGACACCCTGCTTCTGGAAGTTTGTTCTAGAAGCATAGGAAATTATCAGGAAGGCCAGATTCCTGAAAGCAACCACAGAATGCCCGAAATCTACTGCGACTCTAGACGTTGATCAGACAGACAACGCCCCCTCAGTATGCAGCGCGTCGCAGCCTAGTACCAAAGCCAGACCGCGTGCCTCAGCATTGGACCAAGTTAAACAGTGTCCCTCCAATAAATTGCTTGAGACTGTTGTATTCTCCCTCTTGCACTCGCTTTTTCGGAATATAGCTGTTGTGTGCCCTTTTTTCCGGCACTAGGAACCAGAGCTGTTCAGCAGTCAGATACAACGGATTGGCGAATCAGCAAATATAACAGAAATTTTACAACATATTCCCTTTTCTCTCTTTACAAGGACTTTCGAAACTAAGCACCAGTTGCCATTACCGATGTACTGCTGTCTATGAAAATAATGATAGTGATGAGATGTGTTTACGCTCGCACCCACAAAGGTAATTTCGATCAGTATTCCTCCCGAAGACATCGATTTTGATCAGTTCATCGAACAGCATCAAACAAGACTACACACAGTTGTGTCCAAAAACAGAGCACTTCTGATCGAATACTGACCACCTTGGTCAGATGTATCAATCAGTCAATTGGAATATCTCCAGAACCGTCGTATATTTCAGTGCCACACTATTACGTTAGATGCTTCAAAGTATATTTGATACTTTCAGGTGATAAGTCTTTGAAACTACTCGAGCGGTACTAAATTCACACAAGTTGTGCTGTGATAACTTTTACCGAGTCGGGGTGGCTACTATCAATACACTTTCCTACTTGAAGCCAGAATATTGGTTTATGTTAGGCGGAATTCCATACGGAACCCGCTTCACCGCTCACAGTCAGGTGCTGCTACGGCCAAGAAGCCCATCCCACGCAAAAATTCGGGACGCTAGACGGTCTGGCATCAAGCCGAGATCTGATTGGTCAAAAGTCTGAGCTCAACAGCCAGTCATGACCCAGTATTGGTCGAATGCCGGTTGCCAGTGGCGCATCCAGAGCGCCTCGGAATTTCCAGAAAGTTGTTGCCGCTTGCG